TGAGCCCTTTATAGCAGCCACTGTGTCAATCCGTCTCTTTGAAGGTCTTCCCCCTTTAAAATGACTCTATTTTACCAAGCATGATATCCTTTTCTAGGGTCTAGTCCTTTCTGACAACATGACCAAAGGACGTAAGATGAAGTTTGGCCATTCTCACCTGTAAGGAGCACTCTGGCTGTACCTGTTCTCAGACAGATTTGTTCATTCTTCCAACAGTCCATGGTAGTTTCAATATTGTTAGCCAGCACCACAATTCAAATGCATCAAATGTTCCTTTGTCTTCCTTATTCATCGTCAAGCTCTCACATGCATACGAGGCTACTGAAAATACCATGGCTTGGATCAGGTGCACCTTAGTCTTCAAGGTGACCTCATTTTGGATCCAAATAAAATGAAATCTCTGACAACTTCTGTCTTTCCTCCATTTATTGCTCACTGGCCCAGTTGTGAGGATTTTCGTTTTCTTCCTGTTGAGGTATAATCTTTATTGAAGGCTGCCTTTGGTCTTCATCAGTAAGTGCTTCACATCCTCTTTGATTTCGGCAAGCAAGGTTGTGTTGTCTGTGTATCACAGGTTGTTAACGAGCCTTCCTCCAATCCTGATGCCACACCCTTCTTCACATAGTTCAGCTTCTCAGATTATTTGCTCAGCATGCAGATTCAGTAAGTATGATGAAAAGGTAAAACCCTGATACACACTTTTCCTGATTTTAAACCATTCAGCATCCCCTTATTCTGTTCAAACAACTGCCTCTTGGTCTATGTACTGTTCTGCATGAGCACAATGAAGTGTTCTGGAATTCTCATTCTTTGCAATGTCATCCATAATTTGTTATGATCCACACTGTTGAATGCCTTTGCATAGTAAATAAAACATAGGTAAACATCTTTCTGACATTCTTTGCTTTCAGCCAAGATCTGTCTGACATCAGCAATGATAATCCTCATCCCACATCCTCTTCTGAATCCAGCTTGAATTTCTGGAAGTTCCCTGTCAATATATTGCCGCAACCTTTTCTGAATTATCTTCAGCAACATTTTATTTGTGTATGATATTAATGATATTATTCAATAATTTTCTTATTCTGTTGGATCATCTTTCTTTGGAATGAACACAAATATTGATCTCTTCCAGTCAGTTGTCCAGGTAACAGTCTTCCCAATTTCTTGACATAGTAAGTGCCTCCAGTTCTGCATCTGCTTGTTGAAACATCTCGGTGGGTATTCTGTCAATTCCTGGGGTCATTTTCACCAATTCTTTCACTGCAGCTTGGACTTCTTTTTTCAATACCATCAGTTCTTGATTATACGCTGCCTCCTGAAATGGATGAACACCAACCAATTCTTTTTGGTTCAGGGGCTCTGTGTATTCCTTCTATCTTCTTTTGATGCTTTTTTCATCATTCAATATTTTGCCCATAGAATCCCTCAATATTGCAAGTCAAAGCTCTTCATCAGTTCTTTCAGCTTATGAAATATGGAATGTGTTCTTCCCTTTTGGTTTTCTAATTCCAAGTCTTTGCACATTTCGTTATAATACTTTACTTTGTCTTCTTGAGCTGCCCTTGAAATCTACTGTTTAGCTCTTTTATTTTTATCATTTATTCCATTCACTTTAGCTACTCTGTATTTAAGGGCAAGTTTCAGAGTCTCTTATGACATCCATTTTGGTCATTTCTTCCTTTCCTGTCAATTTAATGACTTTTTGCTTTCTTCATGGATGATGTTCTTGATGTCATCCCACAAGTCGTCTGGTTTTTGGTCATTAGTGTTCATTGTGTCAAATCTATTCTTCCACATGTATAGGAGGACGATGGCTAGAAGGGCCATATTAAATGATTCACAGTTCT